AATCCGAGCAGCTCGATCTAGTCAGCTCGCATCCTTTGAAACCACTAAAGTAGATTTATATTGTATTTTCTGATGAAGGAACAGTGTTGTACATTCTGTGGAAATATTCTATTGCTTTTTCTTTTTTTACAATCTGTGAATATGCAAATCGGGTCTTGCTCTAACAAATGAAGGAAAGTGATTTATTTTGATATTCAGTCATAAGTAGGTATTGCAATCCATTATATAGTGGCCTCAATTCATTTGGCAAATGAAAGAAATAAGGTCCTGCTTTCTATCTGTGGTGTTGTTGAATGTGTTGTGTCTGAAGCTGTGGTGGATGAAGGAAGCTGAACGCTGCACACGACGGCTTTTTGAAAGCAAACCTGGGACTTTCTGTCGATTGATTCTCTAAAAGTGCTGCAAATTAAATCTCTAGCTTTGTATCCATGATGCGGATATGCTACAGAAATTGAAGCGAATCAATATTTGTTTTACTTTTATTTACCTGATGTATCTTTTTTTTTAAGTGGGGATGCAATAACTCCTATAACGAATGTAATCATTTTAAACAAGAAATAGACCTAATTGTGACCCATTGGTTTTGTGTTGTATGTTATGTGTCTTTTTTTAAAGATTGACCTCACTTTTTTTCTGTGTGGAAAACGGTTGTCTTTATTTATTCGGGGCACATCCTGTCTGCGTTTCCTTTGTCTTGTTCCTGCATGCAGACTCCCACTCAGCCCCAACCGCACACTTCCTGTTTTGAGGGAGTGGAATCTGTCCGTCTTCAGTGTAGTTGGACCCTCGTGTGTCCTTCCTCTGTTTGATGGAGCGTCAGTTTTTAGGGAACCAAACACGCACACACACACACACAGAGTGACGACGGCGGGGATTCAGGCGCCGCTCTTATGTTTAATTCATCCGTGTTTGTCCTCATTCACGGGAATCCCGGCCGTCTCCTTGGCCGTCTCCGCGTGTCGCCGGCCTCGCGTCTGTAGTTGTGTTTGAGACGAAGCCCGTCGGGAATAAGATGGAAGAATCCGAGAATGGAGACGAGTGTTTGAGGCTGTTTTATTAGCTAATGTATATTTAGTACACGCTATAATGTGAGACAGCCTGCCCCCTCTTTCTCTCTGCAGGCCTATGGACGTGTTCTCTGCTAATATAGCTTATTAGCTCTTATCTCTTCTTAAACTCACATTTTGCGCAACGCTGAAGGCGGCTGCACATTGGAGACTCGCAGGGAGCCTCGTGTGAGGAAAAGGTGTCTGCTCAGCGTGCTTTCTCCTCTCAGGGCTCCCGAGGAGAACAACCTACTGAAGGAATGCAGCGAGGCCATCGGAGATCTGATCGCTGTGCGCTTGTTAACCCGAGCTGAGAGCAGGAAAGTTAGTGGATTCTTTTCTTTTTGCTTTCCAATGCTGACGTTATTTGTTCAGATCCTGTGGAAGTGTCAGATGTTTTTTTTTTTCCTTTCCTCTTCCTGCTCTTCTCGTCCTGTCTGCCTCTCTTTGTCTCTCACACAGTAATTGCTCCTCTCTCACAGACAGTGTTCCTGTCTTACTTTGGCTTTTGAGGGGGGGTTTTGTTCACACGTGAATGAACAAGACGCAGTTGTGAGTGTTTTAGAAAAAAGGGGATGCTCTGTAAATCTCATTTACAGCCTCCTGCGTCCTTACCTCGTCCATCTATCTGTCCGTCCACATGTCACGCAGCCTCTCGGAGCCCAGACGGGGCGTCCTGTATGGGAGGAGGCTGTCAAAAGAAAGCCCCCTAAACAGGAAAGGAGCGTTGGGACGTGCAGACAGGCCGTCAACGGGGGCCTGATGTGTTCAATGGAGGAGCCACAGGCGCTGTGCTGCAAACACGGTTACTTTAACGGGCCAATAAATCCAGAAAGCTGTTAGTTTAGTATGATTGCTTCCAAAGCAAATCAACGTCTTTTTTTGACTTGTGATTTCTACAGAGGGAGAATGGCTCATTTTCTGTTCGGGCAAGATGCCGGAATTACACTAAATGCAGTCCTCTTATTTCCATCAGCCTGGTTTCCCCTGGGGAGAGGAGTTAAAATAACCGAGCAGCACAGTCAGTTAATTCACTGCTGGAGCTGCTTTCATAGAGCAGACTCACACACCAGATTAGATCTCTTCTCTCTTCATGTTAAATACGCTATCGTTAAACTTTTTAAAATGTTATATGTAAAGTTTATTACTCAAACATGTTAAACATTCATTGAAAAAAAACATTTCATGTTCAATAGAGAAGTGTAGTGAACTGTTGGTCTAATATTGCCAACCACGATGCAGAATTGTGTGTGTGTGTCACACGCCGTCCTCTCCTTTATTACAACATACGGCACATTCCTCCATTGTAAATGAATAGTTTGAAAGATGTTATTTGAAACCTTTTCCTTTAGTTTACAACAACCTGTACATACCTTCCTCTATAATAGAACACTTGCCACTAGTCGGTCATACTCGGGTAAACGGCGCCATCTCGTGGGCAGCTGCCGTCATTACAACGTTAATTCCCTCCCACGCAGATGTGCAATGTGTTGAGTGATTAGTTCTGGCAGATCTTGACTTTAACTCTTGAATGAAGTGTGACGTACTGGACATCATGGTGTGGTTGTGTGGAAACTAATGTCAATTAGTCCAACGTATTGACAGACGTTCTATTTTTGTTTTTTCAGTATGGATAAAACTAGTCGATAGTGTTCATGGTGCACTGTTAATCCTTCATGATGTTATCTTTGGCTCTTGGGAGTAATGTTATATATTTATATAGTGTTATGTGGTCCAATCAGTCTGTTTTACACCCCTTATCATTGAGGAAGAAATTGCTTTGTTTTTTTCTTGACTAAACAGATGCAAGGCACACAAACTAATATTAACGACATTATCCGTTTATTTATTATGAGGATTAGCTGCACAGATGTTTAGTGGCTCGCAGTCTTTTGGGCGACTCACCTTAGTTTATTTCTGATTGTTTGCCACAGAGTTAACTCAAATTGACTAAAGCCTTTGGTCATCCTCCACATTTGATATGCAGCTGCTCTTTAGATAAGACTTGGATTGTAAAGATATTAACAAAGTTGTGTCTTTTAAAAGTCGAACACTAAACAAAACAGCTTCAGTGCAAGAGTTTGTTTTATTAATATCATTAACCGTTAACACAGAGAAACAAGGCATGACAATAGACAAATAGACCGGCTGGAATCAGATCTTGTTGAAAGCTGCTACGTCGACGCTCTGGATCTGAAACAGCAAGGAGGAGAAACTGTGAACTACAATCTCATGTTCATCACAAGAGGAAGCCAATTTGCTCACTGCAGATTCACTAATGTGCAGTCGAAGGTTTATCAAAATAATTTGAAATAACTGGTATTTTTCAATGGAGCTTTAATGTCACTGTTCATGCTTTTATTTTCAATCTCCACTGTTTAAGATCAGGCTAGATGTAATCCATGAAAGGTTGGAGGGTATTGCATTGCACTGACAAAATGTTAGCGACTACTCAGTGAAACACAATTTAACCACGTGCTAAACGACTGAATCCGACTTAACATCAGTCGCTTCGGGTGAATCTCGGTCCCTGTCGGCACATTGCTGCCTTCATGTGGTCAAATTTGGGTAAAGCGTCTCAATGTTACAAGGCTACAAACACACAGACCCTCTGAGTTTAAGTTAATAACTTTGAACTACAATGTTTGACCTTTGCAGGAGTACTTACATAGTCTTCAAACTTGGTGATTTCTTCCTCCAGCAAGTCTGTTCCCACCTTGTCGTCCTCCACCACACATGCAATCTGGAGCTTCTTGATGCCGTAACCCACAGGAACCAGTTTGGACGTCCCCCATAGCAGCCCGTCAGCCACCACCGAGCGCACACACTCCTCCAGCTTCACCATGTCCGTCTCGTCGTCCCACTAACCACGGCACAGTACAATACAAGCACAGCCATTAGCAAACTTAAATGGACACACACACACACACACGCATGTTTGATTCCACCAATCTTTATCGCCAAAGTGGATTCAGTGCAATTTATATCAGAGCCCCTGTTCCATGTCTGCTACCAGGTGAATCCATAGTTTTAGGCTCCCGTAGGACACGGAGTGTGTAGACTTACAGGTTTGACATCCAATAAGATGGAGGACTTGGCGATGATGCCAGGCTTCTTGGCCTTCTTCTCTGCGTACTCTTTCAACCGCTTTTCTTTGAGTTGCGCCGCCTCTTCATCATCATCGCTGCCAAACAAGTCGATGTCGCTATCTTCCTCCTCGTCTTTCACTGGGACGCTGGTCTTCTGCTGCACAGCAGTGCCCTGAACAGAGGAGAACAGTCGCGTGACACACTGGAGATGGAATACCAGCGATGAGGTGAAGCGGTCTGGATGAGCTCACGTTGGTGTGGGCTGCTGCAGGAGCAGCGGCCACCGCGGCAGGAGACTTCTCCAGAAGAGACACTCGACAATCCAGCTTGGAAAGAGCGGCCCTCAGGTCATCCACAACTAAAGCATGCATGAATAAAAATAAAGAAATGTTTGTGTGGCTTTTTATTTTAAAAATACACAATTTACAAGCAAGTATTTTTCATTCAATTCCTAACATTCTGAATGAGAAACAAGCTTGCATGGCGCTGGCCGAATGTAAAATGATTTCACTAGACAAGAACACTTTAGCTTGCATGCTAGACATGACATTTCTAATGAGTAAATTATTGAGCACAGTTAAAGTCCACCGTGGTTTGGGTACTTGTAACTAACACGGATAGAACCGTCAGTCACCAAACCAGCGTTGGAGAAGGACCCACCTTTGCGTAAGCTGTGGTTCTCCAGCTCCAGGCTCTTGATGCGACAGATGATCTCTCCTTGATCAGCCGCTGCGCTGATGCTCTGCGGAGACCGAAAGCAACGAGTACATTACACACATGTAGGTGGAGGAGAACACCGGCAAGTCTTCAGTTTCTACTTTCTTTGTAACCATCATTCACACTATGAAAGGTCTACGAAACCGTCACTAACATACAACACGTGAAAAAAGACGGTTGGTTTCGTGTTTGCCGGAAATAATGTAACCGCTTTGCTCATATAATTAAGGGTGCATCACATGACCAACTTGCTTTGTTTACCAGCAATGAAAAAAAAGATTCTTTCGCTCAGCTTATCAAATCTCTGCAAACAATGGTGACACAAGCAGTCACGTTCAGCGAACATGAAATAGACGCAGGGGCAGAAATTGGTCTTGAGGAATGAATACAGATGCCCACATCAAGTTACCCGTGTCTTAAAGTGCTGTAGCGGAGGAATAAGGGACGGATCGTACACAGAACATGTACTTACTCCTGCTAGAGACTTCTGGATGTTCTCCCTGGCTCGGGCAATGTCCTGCAGGATGGTGTTTGACCCGACATCCTTAAATAAAAAAGGGATAGAAACAGTTGTATTCATCCTTTACTTATACAAATGCCATGTGAAATATTTCAATTTAGTGTTGCCGTTTTGTGAATGCGAGCAGTGGATCGACTGCAGCAAGATTCATAATGCAAACTGCTGCTGAAGTCAGATTTCATCAAGACCTGACAAATTCAACATTTTTCTGTACACAGACATGTTCAGTAATGTAATTAGGGTGTAAACAATAAGCTCAACTATATCAACAATATCGTACTTCAGACTGGTTAGTTTGACGAGACTCATTGATTGCAATATACACTCATTTAGAAATCGAT